CCTCGGGCTGGCTTGGGGGTCTGTAGTATACCCCCACAATAACATCCGTCTTGTTTCTCTCTCCCTTAATTCTTATCCAGATGTTCTCAACCTGGATTTAAGTCCTGGATCTCTTCACAAGTATAAACATCCTTGACGTATAAAGCTACTCCTCCTCCTTTCTTGCTACGTCTATCTCTCTGAAATAGTTTATACTCCCCAATAACTACATACCAGTCATGAGTTTCATCCTACCTCGTTTCAGTGATACCTATTATATCATACTTATTTTGCAGTATTAAGAGTTCCAGTTCATCTTGTTTATGTCCCATGCTCTGTGCATTAGTGTAGAGACATTTAGGGCCATATGTGTTTTTCTTCCCCTTGTTGTTCTCTAGTACAGTACTACTTACTCTGCTGGGCTTTTCTTGCCAGCACTTGATGAATTTCTGCCCTGAAAATTATTGTCTCCCTCCATTCAAGAACTCAGTTTAAAGCTCTCCTGATCAGATTTGTGAGCCTCTTAGCAAAAACATTACTGCCAACAGCTGTGAGGTGCACCCCATCCCCTGCCAAAAGACGATCTTTGTGGAATAGCAGACTATGGACCAAGAAGCCAAATCATTCCTGGCGGCACCATCTGTGGAACCAGTTGTTCAACTCCATTATTCTTCTCTCCCTTCATGGGCCATGCCCTTCAAGAGGGAGGAAGAGATGAGATTACAACCTGCACATCCAGGTCCTTCAGCTTCCTACCCCTATCCACATAATCCTTTGTGATGTCCTGAAAGCTATGCCTCGCAGTGTCATTGGTTCCCACATGAACCAAAAGGAAGGGATAAGAGTCAGTGGGCTTAATGACTCTTGTCAGTCTCTCTGTTACATCACGAATTTTGGCTTCAGGGAGACAGCACACCTCACGATTCATCTTGTGAAGCTTGCAGAGTGTGGTTTCTGTTCCTCTGAGCAAGGAGTCCCCAACCACCAAAGTAGTTGAACATGTAGTTGAACATTTTGGAAGAACAAAGAGAGGCAAAAGTGAGACAAAGACTGATAAATTGTAACAGCAATGAGCAGATTCAAAGAATTCAGTTTTGTTTTCATAAAATCTGATTCCTTGCTTATTGTATAAATGTAGTGGGCATTCAAGGTCGTTTACAACGAGCAATGTTTCTTTCTAATAAGCATCAAATGTAATCTTCATGCTATGACCTTTTGTTCAGCCCACCAGAGCATTGGCAAGGCAGGAAGCTAATTTGTCTGATGAGGGGGGAGAAACATGTAAACAGAAGTAGAAATGAGGAGAAAGCCAACAATTGTATAAATGCTGGTTATAGTCTAGGAAAAATGTTACTTATTGTCATTCCCAAACTGCAACACACTCATGCTATATCATAAACAGTTATAGAGGCTCAAGTAGTTTGGAGGAAATAATTGCAAGCCTTATGCATAAATAGACAATGCATACAATGTAAAGAGGCTCCAGAATTAAATGCACCATGCACAGTTCTCTGCCAGGTAAGAATAATTTACCGTGAGGTTATTAATATGTGGCTGAAATCCAGAAGTAAATTGCAACTAGAGTAGGTACTGGTGGAACTTGTATATACATGGACTCACAAAATCCTTACTGATTCAGTGGGCCTACTTTATCTGCAGCTCACTGTTGGATTTCAGTTTGTATGTTGGAGGAGGAAGGGATCTATTGATTTATTTCACTAGTATTTGAGGAATAAACAAGAACATGCAATGGTTTCTCCATTAACTGTTTATGATTTTTAAAAAGATAGGACAACTCCTGTGCAACATATTTATCTTCTGTTCATAGTTTACGATACATATGAGCAACCCATGGCCTGTGAGCCACATATGATCTTGAAGGCCTTCTGTGTAGCATGCCATGTAGCTTAATTAGTGCCTTTGCCAATTCCTTCCCATGCTGCCACCACTGTAATGTAATGATGTACACAGGAAAAGGCATCTTGGTGTACAGGCTTCCCTCTCCTACTGAGGATGCACCTTGATCTCAACAGGCAAGAGAAAAGGTTTATGTCTCTATGCTTTGAGATGTGGGATGAGAGAGAGTGTGCATGAGACTGTGTGAGTGCAACCCCATATTAACTGTCCATCACCACAGAGTTGCTTTGCTCTCCTCTGGGTTATAGAAATAGTGCATGGGCTCACAGCAATTGCTAGTAGAAGCATGCAGAGTTGTGTATTCAGTCTCATACCGCTCATCTTTGAAGCTCCAAACAACTTTCCAAGGGAGGATATGCAAGACAGGGCTTACATGCAAATCCCTCTCCTCAGCTGAAACTTAGTTGTATTTGCATGTTCAGATGAACACTTTAAGTGGGGCTCAGATTGTAACCAGTTGTATTCATAGGCAAATGGAACAGAATCTGTCAACAAAGTGGATTTCCCCCGTCCCTTTCCATGCCCTTCTTGATCAACTTTAGAGAGATGTGGAGGCAGAGCAGATGGGGGTCTGGAGATGAAACAAAAATTTGCATTGGACAAACAAGTTTTCGCGTACAGTGTTGGATGCCTCTCAGATAATACAGTAGGAGTCAGTCAGTTTTCTTCAGTGTTCCAAGGCTTTCCTGTTGAAAAGCTTATTGATCCACCTGGGTTTTCCCTCCCACAACAGTGCAATACAGCAGTATCACTTTGAAGGGATAGTCAACAAGTGAAACCTGCCACAAAATTGAAGTGTGAAGAACTTCTTTTCAGGATTCCAGTTTTTCTGTTCTACTCCAGTCCTAGTTTCATTGTTGCCACCCCAAAAACCCTTTAGTATTCTATGATAGTTCATTAGGCTGTTTGGTCTCCCTTGAGCGTTTTCCCCTCCAAAGGCTTATTATACTTCTACAAACCTGAGTCCATTAGCCTTACAATAAACATAACAAGACAGCATACTATCTTGGGAGACAAAGAAAAAAACAAGTGCTGTAATTTGAAAATGAAAACGTGCCATTCTATTATTTTCATAGATTTTTTTTTCTCACACTGGCATCTCTTCCATTGTGAAATGAGGAGGGGAAACACAATCCTAATAGCTCCCAAGTGATATAACACAACTGCACCAGGGAATACAAATGTGATTTGTACACAAGAATTTGCCTCAGGAGAATTCCCTTGATGAGAATGGCTGCAAGAAAGGGCAGTGCTGTGCAAAGATGCCAGACAGCTCATTTGAAGAATTATCAGTTGCTTCCAGAAGAAAACACATGATAAAAGCACACTCAAGAATTCCTGTGCAACTAATCCCTCTACCATGTCATCTTCGCAGCTGAAAGCAAGAACGGAGTCCAGGGAAGAGGGGTTTAAGTCTGAAAATCATATCCTTCAAATCCAGCTAAGATATTTGTTGGTGACTGATACACTATTTAGGTAGAAATAATATTTTCTCTTATTAACAGCTGCAGTTAATGAGATAAAGTACTCTACAGCAGATTCTACCTGAAGGCATTGCTGGGGTTAAACAGAAGGACTTAAATTGAAGAAAGATGTGTAAAGGCAGTGAATTCTGGCTGCATGTTTATTTTATTTGTTTGTTTGTTTATTTAACTTATATGCCACCCACACTACCCAAAGGTCTCTTTATCACGTGCTTTCTGTCTCCTCCATTTGTGAATAAGCTATCATGGATCACTCACTGCATACGGAACTCTGGTCTAACTCACCGATTTTCATGTTTTGAGAAAGGTTAGGTAATATTCTCCCCTTCATGTTTTGTGGCCCCCACCCTCCCTGCCACTAAGCTGGTTGCCACACTTCTGAACTTGCAGCATACTAACCACAAAAGTCAAGGTTGTCTTTAGAAACGAGTTGCATGGGAATGAAGTCCATCATTTTAAAGAAAAGCTGCTCTCCCGGCAACCCCCAAGAAGCATAATTCTAATTTAAAACAATTTCCAAATTGTGGCATTTTTGCTGGCCCCTATAATGGACAGTATGACAGGAGCAAAGGGCATCCTCCCTTTGAACAGAGAACTTCAGGGCTGGAGAACTGCACAACATCTGCAAAGGATCCAGCGTTGGCACCCCACTCCTTTTTTTCATATGGCGCACACTTCATGTGAATAGTATATGAAGAGCTTATAGGCTTCTTACAGGGATTGTAGAGATTATTTTATATTCGTTCTTCCATCCATAGTGGAAGAAGTCATTTTTGCCAGTTCCCCTGTGATACTGGTAAAGGTATCCCCCTTGACTTTCAGTCTAGTCATGTCTGACTCTAGGGCGTGGTGCTCATCCCTGTCTCCAAGCCGTAGAGCCAGCGTTTGTCCGTAGGCAGCTTCTGTGGTGACGTGGCCAGCACGACTAGACACAGAACATCGTTACCTTCCCACCAAGCTGGTACCTATTTACTCACATTTTTACATGCTTTCAAACTGCTAGGTTGGCAGAAGCTGGGACAAGCGACAAGAGCTCACTCTGTTGCGTGGATTCGATCTTATGACTGCAGGTCTTCTGACCTTGCAGCACAGAGGCTTCTGCAGTTTAACCCACAGCACTACCACATGATACTGGTAGTCATTTCCTATTCTGTTCCAGAGGTGCCCCATCCCTTTGTAGCAGAGCAGGAATGGGAATTCAAGGATAACGTGCTTCCCCTGCCCTGCTTCCAGAAGGAGATTCACTCTGTCCACAGAGACTGAGAGAGAGAGAGAGAGAGAGAGAGAGAATGTAATGAAGAGGGAACTGGGATTTGAGAAAAACAGATTGTATTTGCATAGCGCCATGATGCCTACTTCGCTGCTCTTGAGTCAGTAACTTCCAGCTGTCCTACTTCACAATGATAAGTTTAGGAGGAGAGCTATGTACACCCTCTTGAGCTTCTTGGAGAAAGTGGAATATAGATTAATAAATACACCATGGATCACTATTGAGTGGTGGCACTATTTCAGTTGGTGGGGTTACTTTTTTTTTCAAGGATACCTGCAAATTATGTGTGTTTCAATTTCTCCTGCTGATGCCAAATGACTAGAGTCAACTTAGTCCAATGTATGTTTTAGGTTGGCCTTTTCCGGAAGTCGGGTGTGAAATCACGGATACAGGCCTTACGCCAGATGAATGAAAACTCTCCTGAAAATGTCAGCTATGAAGACCAGTCAGCATATGATGTGGCAGATATGGTAAAGCAGTTTTTCAGAGATCTGCCAGAGCCTCTTCTCACCAGCAAGCTAGGAGAAACTTTCCTCCACATTTATCAATGTAAGTGGCAAAGCTGTTTTCTTGAGTGATAAATAAGAATGTTTTGTGGAGTAGCAGACCTCTAATCATAAGAATTTTGCATCTAAATTAATAATCCTGACCCCAAAAAGTTGTTATTGGAAGCTCTAACCATCAGTAACTTGAAGATCCAGGTTATCTAAGTAGGTCTCCCAAAGTGTGATCTGAGGGAAAGGAAGGAACACAGGTAATTGTGATCAGCTCTACTCCTGAGCTGCCATTTTGTGACTGGCCCACATTGGTTTTCCAAAACATATCCCACAAATCAACCCCTGTTCTAAAATACTGAACTGGCCTCTTCCTAGAGATGCTGAGCCATTTATTTGTTTTCTCAGTTATTTACTATGTTGCCATTCTTCCCTTAGGGGACCCCAGGCAGCTCACAGTCAGTTAAAAACATAAACACAATTAAAAACACAGTAAGAGGCAATATTAAAAAGCAAACAATTAACAAGATTGAAAACCATAATTTAAAAGTACTTTAACCATACACTCACATTGGTTATGCAGCATCCTATAATGGCAGTCACGTGACCAAGTCGATTAAAAGCCTATCTAGAAAGGAAGGTATTTGCATTTTCCAGCAGAAGGACAAGAGGAAAGGTCCAACTTGGCTTTCTGAGGGAGCACCGTTCACAGCCTGGTGACATCATTACGAGACTCCTCTCTTGCAGCTTTGCGAGATGGGTTTGGGAGATTGGTGGGACTGAGAGACAGGCCTCTCTACAAGATCTGTGAGCTGAGGAGGGTTTCATAGAGTGACAGAGCCGTTCAGATAGCAATACCACCTGAATAAAATGCATAACTGACAGCAGAACCATATAGACATCAATTCAAAGTAAATCTCATTTAATTTAGGGGAGATTACTCTCAGTTCAGTGTCTATAAGGTTGGTCAATCTGAATCTTTAAACAAAAATAAGTTAAAAGGCTTCCTGAGACATGTATTGTAAAGCTGCCTGTCATCCTCATTAGTTAGTTAAATATTTAATTTACACAGGGGCAGTTCAAATATAAGCTTAGCAGCCCTGCTGGCAGGTTCCAAGGGAATTTCATTATGCATTAGAATTAAAGATTCCCATCTGTGCATATGTTAGACTTTTCTTTGACATTCTACAAAAGGACAAGCATTTCTCAAGCCTTCTTCATTTTTGTTGTTGTTTTAATATTTCCCCACCAGAAACAGTACAGGCCCATCCTAGAGGAGACTATGTAAGGTTATGGCTTTGCACTCTCAAAAGGAAATGAGGTCCCCACTCTCTGCATGACCTCTCCACTTCTCAGAGATTAAACTGTAGTAATAAAGCTGTACAGATGAACTCTGTGGGAACAGAGAGAGCTTAGAGAAGCCTTTGTGTTCTGCTGGTCTGGCAGTTTCATTTGCAAACGCTGTTGCTAACTATATTTGTCCTTCTACTGCTGACAGTATTTTGGTTGGATTTATTGTTGAAATAAATCAATATTTTGAGTCTTTTTGTGTTGTAAACTGCTTCCATGGCTATGGTGAAGAGAAAAAACTTCTGCTACTACTAGTATTGCTATTAGAATACCACCACCATCATTGTCATCATAGAAAATCAATTGGAAGTGTAAAGATTGCACCAGAAGAATTTTATTTACCTATTTTATGCAATATTTGTGCATTTGTGCACACACACAAACAATATATAAGGAGGAATCTATTTCCGTTCTGAGTGCATTCCACATGTATTCAGTCATAACAGTCTAATTCTGTCCAGTTTCAGATCAGTTGAATTATTTATATTTGTGTGTGCTTTTAAAACTTCATAAAACTGTATTTTCATAATTTCTCCTAGAAGCACATTTCATATACTTTCGCTGTGATGCATGTTTTAATTCGATTTTTGAGCTGGAAATGGCATTGTAAAATGTGAAGAAGGTTGCAATTGGAAAGATTACAGTGCTGAGATCCACATACTGATTCAGGAGGTGCAAAATTAAATATAATAGGTTTCCCTATTCCTATTAGCAATAACAAAAATGATTTGATCACTGTGTAGTATTTGAGAGTTTCTACCCAATCTTGATTTAAGGTGCCCAGTGTAGTGTAGTGGATAGAGTGACAGACTCAAACTCTGGAGACAAGGGTTCAAATCTCCACTCAGCCATGGAAATTTACTGGGGGAATAGAACTAGTAAAACTACTACTTAAACAGCTCACTTACCTATTATAGTTGTTATAAGTTGGTTTCAACACAATGGCACATAACTGACTAACTTGATTTATAGATTGTGTTTTCCAGAGCTGATATTAGCTTGTGTAGAAAACCTAACCTTAAACTTCTGCAAATGTTTTGTTGATGAAGAAAAGGCAAAAATCAAGTTATCTAGGATTTATAGCAGTTTTCTGTGTTTTCCAGATCTGATAATTAGCTTGTGTAGAATACCTAAACTTCTGCAAATGTTTTGTTGACGAAGAAAAGGCAAACATCAAGTTATCTAGGATTTATAGCAGTTTTGGCTGGGCCTGAAGTGGGGTCAAATATCCCACCTCAGAATGGTGAGGTAAAGCATTTTGACCATGACTGACCACTGTTTCTGCCCAAATTGAAAGCTGCACTTGGCCTTCCATTAGGAATAGTCAAAATTGTGCTCCATCTGTCACTTAAGCCCAGAGAGATTTCACACAAAGCCTGCAGCTACTTAGTGATTTGGGCTTCAAGTTTATGCAGCTATAAGCAGGTAGGCATTTCGTGATTCAGAGCATGAACAACAGTATGTACAACATTTACAAGACATGAGCATAGGAAGTGGAGGTTTCTGTGTTTGAAAGGTTGAATTCTTCCAGAAGTAATACTGTACAGAGTTTAAAGGTTAAATCTTGCATGATAGTCCAAAGATTTTGTTTGTACTTATGATCACATGTTACTAAATGGCACCTTTTACTTTCCAGATGTGCCAAAAGAGCAACGACTTCAGGCAGTTCAGGCTGCCATAATGTTGATGTCAGATGAAAACCGGGAGGTTCTGCAGACTCTGCTGTGTTTCTTGAACGACGTCACTTCTGTGGAGGAAAATCAAATGACTCCAATGAATATAGCTGTGTGCCTGGCCCCATCTCTGTTTCACCTCAACATAGTAAAGAAAGAAAGCTCACCACGGTAAGATTTTTTTGCAGTTTTCCTTTGACTTTACCAGAATTTGGAAGTAGGTAAAGGTAAAGGTTCCCCTTGACACTTTGTCCAGACATGTCCGACTCTAGGGGGTGGTGCTCATCTCCGTTTCCAACCCATAGAGCTAGCATTTGTCCGAAGACAATCTTCCGTGGTCACGTGGCCAGTGTGACTAGACATGGAACACCGTTACCTTCCCACCGTGGTGGTACCTATTTATCTACTCGCATTTTGCATTTTGCATGCTTTCGAACTGCTAGGTTGGCGGGAGCTGGGACAAGCGACAGGGGCTCACTCCGATGTGTGGATTCGATCTTACAACTGTAGGTCTTCTGACCTTGCAGCACAGAGGCTTCTGCGGTTTAACCCACAGCGTCACCATGTCCATATTATTTGGAAGTAATATGTTACAAATAAAAAGTTTTTCATAATTGGTTCTTTTCCCCAATAAAGAAGGCATAACTATGTTCCATGAAATGTACAGTATGCTAGACAGCTAGCATTAAGGGCTACATCTACTTTGTGGACAATGTGGTGAACAGTTGCCAAATGGGAGGGAGAGCCATTTATGTCACACTGAATCCCTGATGACTAGTTCAGCAATGAACTAGTCTTCATATTAGCCTGTGTAGAGACATGGGTCTCTGGAAGCGTAAGTCATTTCATGGAGGAATTCTACTAGCCATCATTCTTGAAAAAACTGAAATATAACACCCCGGGAGCTATTTTTTACTTCTAGTGTTTTTCTCATCATTTATTTATTTATTTAATTTATATGTCGCCCACACTACCCAAGGGTCATACCCCTTGAGAATATTTAAGTTATACCTTTTCCTTCCCCTCAACAAAAAAGGATCTTTCCACAGTTCTGTGATGTGATAAAATTGAAGGCACAAAGAACTGCTTCTGGTTTGTTATTGAAAAGGAATGTGTCATTGCTTTTACTTTCATCTGAAGAAGACTTTTGCTCCTTTATCTTACTTGAGATGCTGAATTCATTTGCAGGGTGATACAGAAGAAATACGCAACAGGGAAGCCTGATCAGAAAGATCTCAGTGAAAACCTGGCAGCTACTCAGGGACTTGCACACATGATAGCAGAGTGTGATAAACTTTTTGAGGTGAGTGAAAGATTCAGATAGCATTATTCATGAAAGTCATATTCATACGGGAGCCTGCTTTGAAGTGTTTTCTTATATAGCTTTTTACATTTTGGTGCTGCAGTTCCTGGAGAATGATACTTATTAAGATCCAGTGGAAGCTTCTCGGTATCATTTTCTCCCAGTCTTTGCCTACTCCTGCTTATTTTGTTCACCTCTTTAAATTGACTCATAGTCCACTGTATTCCGAGGACTCCAGTTAGAGAAGAACCGTTCTGCTTCATGGAAATAGAGATTTTTTTATCAAAATGATTGCCATTAGAGAGAGAGAAAACAATTACCAAAAAAGACCTCAATTTTTCAGATGTGGAGTTCTTTCTCCAGATTTTCTCTATTTTTAAATCAAATCCTGACAGAGCTTGGAATTAAGGAGAAGAAAATATAGAGGACCAAAATTCTAGTGTTGAATGAAATGACGGTAATTGTTAATTATAAATAACTGACTGGTTTCAAAGGAAAACGCTCTTTCTTCATGAGCTGAAGCTTCTGAGAAACTCAGCACCAAACATATAGGTCTTTCCTGCTATCAAACACTCTCCAGATCCATAGACCTACAGTAGTACATAAGAAAATACGCCAACTCTGGATCTGGTATAAATACTTACACACACTCTCTAACTCCTTGCTGGATAGAGGGAGAAGTGTACTATTCCCCCATTTCTGCCTCCCTGGAATGAGCTCCATGGAGTTTGGGGTATGTTGGGGACTCCCAGTCAGCAAGCAGGAGTGCCCTGTGAATGCATGAATGTATCTGAAAGAATTATGGCATATAGGCAGGGAAACTTCATCCATTCCCTGCTTCAAAACTGTCCCTCCTAAGCTGTTAGTCCCATGGCTTCCACTGCCACAGTAGTGGCCTTGTTGAATAGGGAAGGTGATTTTTAACAGGATCACTGCATGAAATAGAAAGGGTTAAACTCCTACTTCTCTATGTTGCAACTCCTTTCCTGCTCATCTCTACCCTATTTTCTGTTACTGTTAAAGTGAAGAGAATCTAGACATATGAAATGCAGCCAGTGGGGTCCAAAATACCAATAGACAATATGTACAATCCTAGCCTCCTCATGCTTTGAGCTTCTACATAATCAAGAGAACTCAAGTACAAAGTTAAGGCTGCAGGAATTATACTAGAAGAATACAAGTGAGAATTATGGTGCTGAGGAATAGAGAAATAGCTTAGTGCCAAACTAGGAATATGTGTAGGAAGGAAGTCTGTTTGGTTGGTGTCCAAATGCTGTGTATCTCAACTTGCTTACTTTAGAATAGAATTGTTTAAAAAAACCCCACACACACGCAAGAAGTAGCAGATTTTTTTGAGCTAGAACAGTGTTTTCAAACCTTGGGTAGCCCAGATGTTCTTGGACTGCAACTCCCAAAACCCCTGTCCAGCACTGCTGCCAGTGAAGGCTTCTGGGAATTGCAGTCCAAGAATACCTGGGTTACCCAAGGTAACCATTGAGCTAGAAGATAAGTCCAATGGGGAAGACATACTGAAACTCTGAGTTTATTGGTGGGAGCAGAATTCCACTCACCAAAAAAGAGGAGTTGATTCCTTCCCACTGCAGGTCCTCATTCCCCTGAAAATGTGCTCGTCAAGGCTGAAGATCTTCTGCAGTGAAGGGACTATTTGGGAAGAGGAAATAAGCAGAACCTTGTTTCGCCTCTCTTTCTACTAGTGGCATCTTCCACCTATCACATACCCGTCTGTGAATGAGATAGTTTTTTAAATAAGCGTTTTCTCCTGCATTCTTACATACTTTGGTACAGATCCCACATGAAATGGCCACACAGTCTCGGAACTCCTACATTGAGGCTGAAGTGCATCCTCCAACTCTGGAGGATTTGGGCAAGCAAATGGATGAAGAAGGTGGAACTTACCAGACCTACCTGGAAAGTATTATGCAGAACTTCTGTAAAGAAGCTAAGGAAAAGTTCAAAGGATGGATCTCTTGTTCAAGCACTGAAAAAACAGATCTCTGCTACAAAAAGGTAGTCTCTGCAACCAGACATGATCCACGTACATTTGCACACATAAGGGATCTAGCCTTACTCAACTTCATTATCACTGAGAAACATTGGTCAGGATTAGAGATGGGCATGAACTGCTGGTTCGGTGCAGTTTGTTTCCTGGCCAAACAGCTGATCTGAGGTTTGGTGCCCCCCCACTCAGAGGCAGCACTCAGAGGAGGTGGGTGCAGATCAGTTGTTTGACCAGGAAATGAATTATGCAGAACTAGCATTTTGTGCCCATCTCTAGTCAGGATCAAGGACCACAGCTGTGTTGTCTGTGCTTCAGATTAATGTAATTTTGTAGAAGTAGATGCAGACTCAATTGTGGGTGATCACAGAACAAAGGAAGGCTAATTGCCATAGAGAGAGAACAAAGGAGTCAACAGCGAAAATCCGAGCCAGCGGAGCCAACTGGCAACGCCCTGAGAGCTGTTTTATTGACTTAGCATGATCACATAGTATGTTATGAGAGAAATGGATAGGATACTAGTTATCTAATCGTAACTAGGATTGGCTAAAATAACCCTTTGATCTTATGCTCTACCTCTAAGCAAAAGGGCAGAATAAGGGGCTACCCCACCTGCTGGCAGCTGCAGCATCCTGCCAGGAGTGTTTACACGTCACTGGAACAGAATGCAGCTACAACCTTTAAGCAGAAGTTTCCCACACTCAGTCATGTTTTGAACTGACCCATTGAAATCAGTGGGGCTTAAATAAATCATAATTCAATTTCCACCGATTTCAGTAGTTCTGTTCTAAGGCCAGACTCCTATTTGTTTCTGTTTAACTTGCCATGGCTAATTGCGGCTTATTGATTAGGCTTGAAGCACATTTCAGTTGCTTGCCTGGATGGATGTCCAATTGCACAAGCAACTGCTCAAATCTATAATTCTTAAGTTAATGTATAAAAATTTAAAAAGAGATATAATCCAGGACAGAAAAGGAAAACAAAAATTAAGGAAAAAGTAAGACAAAAATCAGATAATTTCCCACTAAAATATCATGATTAGTGTTTTCAGACAGAGGTGCAATCCAAACACCCAATTGCTTTCAAAGACAAATGTCTTCAAAGACTCATTTGAGGAATGTATAGGGTGGGAAGATAAAGATACGGCTCAAATTCCTTTGAGTTAATCGTTCCACATGGTATATTTTTACAGAAAGTCAATTTTTATATAAGCATGATGCTCTGGTTTTAGTATAGATATGAGCAGAATTTTATAACCATTTTTAGCATCCATCATTTCACACCAGTCTCACAGCTGATCAGCTGTGCTTTGTCTCTCTCTCTCTCTCTCTCTCTCTCTCCACCCCTCACAGCTCCAGCCTCGGCGTGGAGACTGACAGCCTCAGCAGGGAGACTGAGGCACCGCCGTGCCACCCTGGCCGAGAAAGACCCTCTGCGCCTGCAGCAACCTTAAGCCCAGGCTTAAGGTTGCTGCAGGTGCAGAGGTCTTTCTCAGCCAGGGTGGCGGCGGCGGTGCCTCAGTCTCCCTGCTGAGGCTGGAGCTGCGAGGGGTGGAAAGAGAGAGAGACGAAGCACAGCTGATCGGCAGGGCTTTGGGATGATCGCAGGGAAGCGCTTCCCCATAATCATCCCAAAACTGGGGGCTTTGTGATGATCACTTCCCTGCGATCATCGCAAAGTGAATTTTCCCCATAGGGGCCATCGCAAAGCGATCGCTCTTGCGATGGCAAAAAGTCCATCGCAAAGCGATTTTGTCATAAAACGGAGCGATCGCTATGCGAGGCACCACTGTACTTCAAGTACACAGCTATCTTTTGATTCCATCAGCATGCATAATGTGATGTTCTCTTTTCTTACCTGTTCCCCAATTGAAGGTTGGAGATCCATTAAGGCTGTGGAAGGCATCAGTTGAAGTCGAGGCTCCTCCTTCTGTTGTACTGAACCGTGTGCTAAGAGAACGCCACCTTTGGGATGAGGATTTCCTGCAATGGAAAGTCATTGAAACCTTGGATAAGCAGACTGAGATCTACCAATATGTTTTGAACTCTATGGCTCCCCATCCTGCTAGGGACTTTTTAGTCCTAAGGTAAATTAATTTACTTGGAGATGCAACTAAAAAGAGGTTTGTTACCATATTGTCAAAATATTGCCAGGTGTAATTTCAGTGCATTTGTCAGTATGTCATCTCTGGGATTCATTCTTCAATTGATATTTTTCCAAATGATGTCTTTTTTCCTGAATTTTTGTTTTAATTTGAGGACTGTTTAAGAAATGCTCCCATCACACCATACATATTGGCTAATTTTCTAAAACCAGGTGCTGTTGTTTCATTTTATGCAGCTGCCGATGTTGTCAGAATGACATAAACACAGCTGATCCAATTGTTCTGGCTTTTCTCCTTCCCCAGAGAACAACTGATCATTTTATGGAACATATCTTTTTCTGAAGAAAAAGTCAAAGCTGTAGGCAACAAAAGAAGATTTTAAAAATCCAGCAAGATCACTAGGGAAATTGTGAGCTCACTGACTGTAACTCATAACAGATCACAGATGCTTTGTGGAGAAAACATTGTGAATTAATCTAAAGAAACTCTCGCAATTTATGAAACGTTGGTTGCAAATTTTATATTATACATAGTCTATCAACAAAAGCCGTTTTATACAAACCCTTTGGCCAGAATCCTGTTGCAGAAAAACATGAATGCAACAGTAATTGGGCAAGCAGTTTTGCTACCTTGCAAAGTGTGCACTATGCAACTGGTTGTACAACAGACACTTTGGCAAAGTGGGGAAACTGCTACATGTGCAGATTTTTTCCTCAACAGGATCCTGGTCTTGGCCAGCTGTTTTCAGAATGCAGCAGCTTTCTCCTACTAGTACCCTTCAGAAGCTTAGGACTACAGTACCTATTGTTCTTGACAAAGCTGGCTGGGTATTCTAGAGGTTGGATCCAAACCAGCTGGAGGGAACCACATTGGTGCACACAATAAAGAATGAGAGGGATTAATCATCTTTTTAGTTTGAGTCCACATAGTTTCTCAGGGTGAAAATCCAAAAGGGTATCAAAGGCCAATGGAATAGGGAGCTCTTTTCCCTCACCCTTTATTGCAGCTCTGTGTTGCACCCCCAAAAAGGGGGGGGGAATTCTTCCAGCCTTCACTGTGTGCTCTTTAGGATCTACAGTGGGCATCATGGGGAAGAAGAGGCTTTCAATCCTGGTGGGAAACATGAAAACTAGCAAAAATATGCCACTGAATTCTGGTCCATATTTACTCTTTTTCCCCAAAATAAAACCTATCTCTTTTGAAAAAGGTATTTAGTGCCTTGTTTCACAAAAACATTCTCAAGTAAATTAGGAAGGAATAGTAGCTGTTACCAAAACACTAGTCAGATCCATATCTGTTCAGACAGTCAGGCTGACTTGACCTATTATTTAAAAAGAAAACCCTGACAAATCTGAGAAATGTATTTCTAATAAATACTTTGCCCTGATCCTCAATATAATATATTCATTCAAAAATGCAGAAGTCACATTTGCTGCACAAGTTATTCTATCGTGCTCATCTTCTTGAGTTTTAATTATATCACTTTATTATGTGCCATGTATAGCAGTTCCCCTACTGACGTCTGGCTTCTTTGATAAAACAGGAATATTTGTTCTTCATTCTTCTCTCAAGATAGTCTTCAACATTACAGTGTGTATTTGTGAATGTGCACACACCTACATAGTAGACACCCACCGTACTTAAGAAAAATAGCTCCTCTGCTGCCACTCCAGGATTGACACCAATGCTCTTTGATTTTGATCTAGACCCTGCTCTTCCTAATGGGAGCTCAGCACAATTGACCACTTGCTATTGGCATTCATGACAGCTCACAGGACAAGCCCACTTTTAGTGGTTTACACTATGCTAAAGACAAGAACTTAAACAGTGAACTAGGTGTGTCCTTTTAATTGCAATTCTTCCTCACTAACTTTTTCTTTTTTTGTGGGGGGGGGGACAGGACCTGGAGAACGGATTTGCCGAAGGGGATGTGTGTATTAGTGGCTGTCTCCATAGAGCATGAAGAAGCACCTCTGATGGGAGGTGTTCGGGCAGTAGTTCTGGATTCCCAGTATTTAATAGAGCCTTGTGGTTCTGGAAAATCTCGCCTAACTCATATCTGCAGGATTGACCTCAAGTAAGTATCACAGGTGCCAAAATGCTGGTCAGTAAAGCCAGCATTTCTGAGCATAAAGTTGTATCCAAATTTATATGTGATGGGCATGCTGGCTTCAGTATTCTGGGAACTGCAGTCCAGAAAAATAAGTTTGGCCATCTCTGGCAACTGGGCCAGGGGAAGTAGACTTCCCTGCCACCGTCTCATTTCCAAGCCCTTGACAGATTATCTAGTAGATTGGAGGAGGGTATTTTCTGCTGAATGAATGATGTGGTCTTTTGGGAAAGGAGACCCTTGAAAATCAGACGAGAATTTTCTGTAAGTGGACCAATTTCATCAATAGAAGGCATATTCTGAAGCTATCTTATGGTTTGGCACATCTAGTTTATAGGGTGTGTCCCCTTTGGTCCACTGACACCTTAATCCCATGTAACTAAGGGTATGCTTACAACCCAATGAGGGAAGTTTTCCATCCTTGAGTAGCCCAAGGATGTCCAGCACTATTGTTCTGAAAAATAGCCAGGTGCACTGGTTATGAGCTAAAGAGGAGAGGCCACCGCTTCATGACAGAGCACACATTCTGCATGTAAGAAGGTCCTATCATCAGCCTCTGGACAAGATGGACCAATGGTGTGGTTCAATATAAGGCAACTTCCCATGGTCTAGTGTTCCTACAATGATATAACTGTATAAAAGCATATATATGTTTGTTGTTTATTGTACATGAGGTTGCAGTTTAATAAAACAATCCACACATAAAACGACTATTCCGTGTTCCTATGATAATACTCCATTGTCATATAACTATGAGAGAATGTGGCTGGAAAATACTACTTTGATTTCATAGCCTTTGAAAGAAGCAAGGAATATTAAAAGAGCTCTCTGCCACAGCCCCATCTGTTTCTGTTTAATTGGTACATGGCTGCTATTTGTAATGTACAAAGGTTAATCAGCAATTTAGTCAATGGGGTATATATTTTTTGCATTCAAAAGATGTAAGTTTAATTTTTAATCCCAAAGGGATTGTCAAAATATATAATTCGGGGGATGCTTCCTCTGTGGTTTACCTACAGAAATAGATATATAATTGCCCTCTGTAAGACAGAACTTCATATCAGCATACAGGCAAACTCTCTTGAAGAGCTGTAGTTAGACATTATTGCATGAATCATTTGTCCATTGAGCTGATTTTTCCATTTGGTGCAGGAAAGCTGACAAATGTTCTTATTTTTTAAATACTTTTAGATTGTAGTTTGGGGTTTCAGTCTCCTACACAGTTACACCTTCCACATTTAATTAAAATAAGATCCATTTTTTTCATTTTGTGACATGGATGTAGCTTGAATTATTTTTCTGGCTCATCCACTTAACAATGCTGCCAACATTCTAATTTTACAGATTCAATAGGATTCCCCAAGCCTTCCATGTACGGTAGGGATTAGGAAACATGTAAATCTAGTCCACCCACCTAGTTGTTTGTCCGTAAATCTGGATCCAACCTTCTGTTTCATTAGCATTGTTGACCTGTTATTTAAATGACAGATTTTTGTAATAACATTTCCACTTTATTTCTCTTCAGAGGTCATTCATTAGATTGGTACAATAAAGTCTTTGGACACCTCTGTGCTGCTGAAGTTGCCAATATCAGAAATTCATTTCAACCGTTGATTGCTGAGGGTCCGGAAACAAAAATCTGAGTGATGGGGACCCTGCATGTATGAGATTCCATGCATGTCCTGGAGCTACTGGATTTTCAGCCAGCATTTGTGCAATAGCCAAGTAAAGTTTACTTGGAAGGCTTAGCCATTATCTGGAAATACTGTGTCTCCCATCAAATGCTTTCCACTACAAAGAACATTCCCTCCCCCCCAACAAGCTTTAAAAGTAAACTCTTGCCACTGCTTATATATTGCATGTTTCTAATATTTAAAAGCTTCTGAGAAGCTTGTTTTAAAATGTACATAAGAAATGTATATAATGTATAGATTTTGCTATGTATGATATTTACATATATATGTCTATGTAGTGATATATATATATATGTATATATATATATAATATTATATTTTGTATATAATCTTGTGCTTTCTAGAAGAAATGCTCTGCTTCTGTTTGGAATTTCCTTTCTCTCTGACAGATTTCTTATCTCCCAGATTTTGTTCAGAACACTTGTTATCATTGTAAAAAGTACTGCATGATCTTTGTGCTGAGTAGCAATAATACCACTTCCGGATTATGACTGCCAAATGTCAAGCCAGCATAGTCATGGGTCATGCTGGCTACAAGATTCTGGGATCTCCAAATTCTAAATAATGAACTATTAATACTAATCAGTTCACACAGAACATTATTCTGTGGCATTGGAATCTGAATCGATAGACTTCAACAACCTATAGAAAATCAGCAGCCACAGTAGCATTCTACAAAAATGTACCAGTTGCCAGGTCACAAAATAGAAAGACTAAGGGATCAACTGCGAGCTCATTATTTGCAGCATGCAGGCCCAGATTCTCTTGGTATGTTCTGCTCACACAACTGGAATGGCACCATTGTAAGGACTGCCTTTTTCGGCTTTGGAATGCATGTTACTGTAGCTGCAACTAAACTGTGAGAGGAATGCAGATTCACTCACTGTGAAGTCACAATGAGGAATTCGGATTTCCCTGGGCCTGTTTGTGTTAACTGGCCACATGATGAAAGCAATTGGCAGCTAGTTAACATAGCTCTCCTGTAGAGGAGGCACAATTGCAGGAGAACTACTTTAATATGCTGTAAATGAGGCTGTTTAACCAGTTTACCCCTCATGTTTCCTCCTGTCACTCTCTCTATTTTTTTTTTGTTTCTTTTTTTCTGTGTGTGCATGCATGTAACTGCAACACTGGCACCAGACTTTTTTAAAAAAAGAAATGGCATTATTTGCCTCCCGCCCCCCCAGCCACCCTGCCATGGGGCCAACTACAGCACACACTTTCTTCATTGGTTCAAGTAGTCACACCACCTGAACTGATATGAATGAACCCACTTTTTTACTACGAAAAAAGTAGTCGCTCCAGCAGGAAGGGAAAAACTACCAATTTGAGGAAGGGGGGACAAACGACAAACTGATTCAAATATTCTTTTATGAGTGTGATCAACAGAAAATGCAAATTAGGCTGTCCCAATCCCATGTGGCATTTCCCATGTTTTTTGTCAATGTAGTTGCAGCCTTTGCCTGATGCATGTGAATTGTGCACTGAATAGAAAAAGGAAGTGTTTAATCAGCAGCAATCTGATGACATCATTTTTATTGCACGGGTAGAGCTGTGCAAGAGGATTTGGTGCCCCAGAATAATTATGAGACTAATGCACTAACCACACGCCTTGTTGGACAAGAAACAAGAGCTTGGAATGTGGTGAAGTGTCAAGACTATGTGCCACCACAAGATCTGGCATTATACAGATGTTGCTTACAAAATCCAACATTTGTGGTTTTGGATTGGAAAGTAGAGATGCATTTCAAAAATGTTTACTGAGAAATAATTTCACTGACATCCATAGAGCTATCATAAGATAATACCAAGTAGCTTAAGGTTTACAGTTTGAGATCCTGTACTGTTCTAAGACTTAGGTCATGGCTGAGATGAATTACCCACACCTAAGTGTTATGCTGCAATAGCCTCTCAGCTACTTGAGAGTTGAGCGGCTGCTGTAGAAGTATTCCAAGCACTATGAGAGGTAGGAGATAAAGAAGAAGAATGAGGGGGCCCTCTGAAACAGTAAATAATTGAGTTTGATACATGGGTAGAAATTCAAATTTGATCATACCCCCAGTGTTGTAGGAATGTGATAAGGTACAAAATAGGCATACAAAAACTAAGCTTTTTAGGCCAAACCCTCCAAATATAGCAGCTTCCCATCACATACCTAACTTGTGTCATTGATTTTAATGACACTTATCCATGATGATAACTTTCTCTGAGCTGGGGCTTTAACTTGAGGTATAGCACGACAGATTGCACATGACAAATGGGATTGCTCACATATATACATAACCTTTTTATTTCCACTATTTTCATTTTGTTGCTACCACTACCACTGGAAAAAAAAACACACACGGCCACCATTGAAAAAAAAAAAAGAGGGGAGAGGATAAGATTCTCTGTCTTGCCAATTCATAGAACTCTATGGTACAGTAGGGCATTCTATCCCCCTCCTGTATCACAGAGAGCCATTCCAGCTATGCCAGTGTTCTGTAGTAACTGTCATGCAACTGAACCTTGCCAGCTGCTGCAAAATTGTGCTGGTGGTTGATCCCTTTGAGGGTGGAGGAGGTCAAATGTTTCCCACTGCAACACTGGAAGTGTGCCCACTTCAAATTGGCATCAGCAATTTTACATGAGTAATAATGCCAGCACATCACTAAGCATGATGCACTAAACTGGACTGCAGGTCTCCAGAGAAAAACTGTGTTATCACATAAACATTGCTGCCTACCAATATTGGAAGCCTTAAAACAACTTTGCAGTTATTATGGCTGTTACCCTTAATCCTAAAGTTAATAGTCCTAAAGTATTTCACTTAGAAAGCCTGCCTTTATAAACACAAGCTGATTATCTTTCTTGTGTAAAAGAATCATGCTGAGCTGGTTCTCTACCCAGCAGAACAATATAGTTGAAGCTAAACTCTTACGCCACAACCATACTAGAAGTAAGCCCCACTATGTTTGTGGGCTTCACTCCCCTGTAACTGTGTGTAGCCTTAATACCTTAATAAGCTTTTTAACACTAAACTATGTTTCTAAAATAAGCTTTTTTATAATATGCACCATAAAAGTCTAATAATAATTACAAGGGAAGAGGTACTAGTAGTAGCAACTGAGGATTTTCATATTCTGTTTTTTGATGGCCATATACCTTGATCCTGAGTGTTGACTTGGAATTGAATTCCTATTTCAGTGGAACAGACTTTCCTGGAAATTATAATATAATAGCAGTATTTTTCAGGATGTCATTTTCTTTCTTGCAAATGAGAACAGGTTAGGCTGTTGGTAATCTGGAGGGTCCATTTGACAGTATATATTCAGGGAACAATTATTTTCATAAAGGGAAAAGTGCTTTAAAACCAATTATTAATTTTGAAGTAACTTATGGAGAACAGGGTTTTAAAAAAAATAAAAATAAAAGATAAAGCTAGTACAGAACAAAAGTACACTGTCATTCTTTAATTCGTATACTTGCTTTCATAAATAATCAAATCAGATTCACTGTGGCCCTTTGTCTATTATTATTAGCATCTCTTTGTTCAGACTTCAGTACTATAGTCATATTGAATTCAGTGGAGCTTGTTTCTGTGCAGAAAATGCATAAGATGGCACAGTTGGAGTTGTAGTTCATGGTGAAGATCCAAGGTCTTGCAAACCTAGTTCAGTTTGTCCAACACAACTCTTGCCTCTTTTTTTAGTAGGCAGGATCAGTATAACAAGTAGAAATTTAGCTGATGGAACTTTTTTCCAGCCTGGAGACGTAAACATCAGAAATGTTTCCTCTATGTAATTGCAAAATAATGAAGTTGGAAGGGGCCTACAAGGCCATCACATCCAATCCCCTGCTCAATGCATGGATACAAATCAAAGGATATCTACCAGGTGGTGGTTTAAATTTCTCTTGAATGCCTCTGGTGTTGGAGCACTCACCACCTCTAGAGGTAACTGGTTCCGCTGTCACACTGCTCTAACAGTTAGGAAGTTTTTCCTGATATTCAGCCAAAATCTGACTTCCTTTAACTTGAGCCCACTGCACTGAGGGATGACGAAGAACACATCCTGCCCCTCCTCTGTATGACAGTCTTTCAAGTACTGTATTTGAAAAGTGCTATCACATCTCCCTCAACCTTCGTTTCTGAAGGCTAAACATGCCCAGTTCTACCAGACGTTCCTCATAAGGCTTGGTTTCCAGCCCCCTGATCATCCTTGTTGCCCTCCTCTGAACTTGTTTCAGTTTGTCTGCATTGTGAATGTTTGCTCGTCACATGCTCTTCAAGGCACAGATTCTGGGGAAAACGTTGGCAATAGGATACAAGAAGCAACAGAGCTTGAAATTACAGTGCAGCAGTAAATCTTCCTGGGAATCTGTGGTTACTCTGGTCCATTCAGATATTACCGTATTTTTCACACCATAAGACGCACTTTTCCCCCACAAAACGGGCGTGGAAAGTCTGAGCGTCTTATGGAGCGAAGAAAATAGATTATATTTTCCTGTTTTCTTCTCCTAAAAATTGGTGCGTCTTATGGAAAGGTGCGTCTTATGGAGCAAAAAATACGGTATATTCTCTTTGCGATTTCTTGTGATGTATTTTCAATGTATCTGGGATAATACATTGGATTTTATGTTTGTTTATGCAGAGACAGGCTAATGCCAGTGCCATAACTTCCATGGACCCTGATGCCCACTTTCAGTAGCTGATTCCAGGGGAAGACAGTTGTAATCCAGGGGTACAAACATGATTAGAAATACTATTAACTGGAAGCTTCCTCTAATTCTATAGAACTAGAAACTCCTTAATAATTACTGAATGGCAAAAAATTATCAAGCACACTTTCATATGGTCCTGCTTCACATATTTTAGGGTCTTGCCACTAACAATTAAATTAAATGGATAGTAGGAATAAATTAAGCCGTGGCCTTGCCATACAATAATTTTGGTTTGTTCATTTTCTCTAAACTCACTGAATGTATACATAGTGAACTGGCCATTTGATCAGTTCATCCTGATTAAGCCTCTTAGAAAACAGTCAAAACAAATGAAAAAGAAAAAAATAAATAAGACAAAAACTGCTATACGTTTTAATGTGAGCTTTTGTGAACAAGTCCCGTCCACAAAATCTCACATTAAAATATATAGTAGTTAGTCTTTAATATGCCAAAACAGTTTTGTCTTCTTTCTTTTTTAATTTTCCTTTTGTTTCTGCCTGATATGTTAGCACAAACTAACATGGCTAAATTTTCTAAAATTAGA